AGGGCCCAGGGGGCGGGGGCCTCAGGACCCGGGCTCCAGCTGCCCGCGGCCCCTTCCGCCCGCTGGCATCACTCGAGGCATCAGGCCTGGGGTTCAGCTCTCCGGTCCGGCGTCCCGGGTGTCGGGACTCTGGGTCCAGGTCCCTCAGACGTGTCCCCTTGACCCTCCAGTGCAGAGGTAGAGGCCACGGGCCGGGGTCCCAGGGCCCGCTGACGCTCCGGGTGCACCCTCCGTCCCCTCTCCCCACAGCGTGCTGAGCTACCTGGCCGGCATCGCCTGGTTCCTGGCGCTGGCTTTCCCGCCGCTGACCCAGCGCACTTACATGTCGGAGAATGCTATGGGCTCCACCATGGTGGAGGAGCAGTTTGCGGGCGGAGACCGTGCCCGGGTCTTTGCCCGGGACTTCGCTGCCCACCGCAGGAAGTCGGGGTGAGCAGCAGAGCCATGGGCATGCGGGACCCAATGCCAGTCAAGGCCAGAGAGCTCTGCTCAGAAGCTCTCTTTGTGTCTCTAGGGCTCTGCCAGTGGCCTGGCTGGAGCGGACAATGCAGTCAGTGGGACTGGAGGTCTACACGCAGAGTTTCTCCCGGAAACTGCCTTTTCCAGATGAGACCCACGAGCGCTATGTATTATGGGGAAGGGTGTGCCTGGGAGCAAAGAACACCTTGAGGGGGGCTAGAGGCCAGGAGGGTCTGGGGGCGGGGAATGTCCTGGGACCAGAGAAATCACTGGTGAGCATTCCAGGGCTAAAAGGGGACAGGCTTCAGACATCTAGAGTGAGGTCATGCTGACGCTTCCCCAATACTGCATGCAGATGGTATCAGGCATCAACGTGTATGGCATCCTGCGGGCACCGCGTGCTGCCAGCACTGAGTCCCTGGTGCTCACTGTACCCTGTGGCTCTGACTCTACCAACAGCCAGGCTGTGGGACTGCTGCTGGCACTTGCTGCCCACTTCCGGGGTGAGGCTCAGGGGCTCCTGCTGGTGAGGGAGGGTTTAGCCACTGCCGCAGGCCCTGCTGACCCTGTTTCCGGCCTCCAGGGCAGATCTACTGGGCCAAAGACATCATCTTCCTGGTGACAGAACACGACCTTCTGGGCACTGAGGCTTGGCTTGAAGCCTACCACGATGTCAATGTCACCGGTGGGTGCTCTTGCCCTGTGCTGGCTCCTCTCAGGGCCGGTGGTCTCACCCTTTTATTGGCAGCTCATTCACCTGCTTCTACAGGTATGCAGTCATCCCCTCTGCAGGGCCGAGCTGGGGCCATTCAGGCAGCTGTGGCCCTGGAGCTGAACAGTGATGTGGTCACTAGCCTTGATGTGGCCGTGGAGGGGCTCAACGGACAGCTGCCCAACCTGGACCTGCTTAACCTCTTCCAGACCTTCTGCCAGAAAGGAGGGCTGCTGTGTACACTGCAAGGCAAGGTAGGGCTGCCTGCTTGGGGAGCTTGGGGCCTGTGTGTAGGATTTATCTGACCCTGTTTCTGAACCCTCTAAGCTGCAGCCCCAGGACTGGGCGTCAATAGACGGCCCATTGCAGAGTGTGCAGACATTGCTGCTCATGGTTCTGCAGCAGGCCTCCGGCCGCCCCCATGGCCCCCACGGCCTCTTCCTGCGCTACCGCGTGGAGGCTCTAACCCTCCGTGGTATCAACAGCTTCCGCCAGTATAAGTATGACCTGGTGGCAGTGGGCAAGTAAGTGGCTTCTGGTCTCCCCTGCAGGCTTGGGGCGGGGTAGTGGATGCCAGCAGTGTGTGTAGGGGGTGGTTCTGGCCAGCCGTGACTGCCCCACACCCGGCAGGGCTCTGGAGGGCATGTTCCGCAAGCTCAACCACCTCCTGGAGCGCCTGCACCAGTCCTTCTTCTTCTACCTGCTCCCCGCGCTCTCTCGCTTCGTCTCCATCGGCCTCTACATGCCGGCTGCCGGCTTTTTGCTCCTGGTCCTTGGTCTCAAGATATCCTTTGCCTCCCACTGTCCATTTGTGGCCAGCCTCCGGTCTCCTCCACTCTAGGCTGAGGAGAGCTCCCCATCCTCGGGGTGGGGGAGTGGGAGTGAGCCTGGGTCCCCCACTGGGCAGAGCCCATCACACCTCTTGTCAGGGTCCTTGACTAGGCCACGCTCTGGAACTGTGGATGCAGCTGCATGAGGCTGGAGTGAGTCCTGAGGAGGCTGGGGGGATCTCTGGATCCAGTCCTCCCCTCCCCCTAACACAGGTGACGGTTCCCCCGCTTCTGCTGTTGGGGTGGGCTTCTAGGGTCCCAGGTGGTAGTTATTGCTGCCGCTCAGTCTTAACTGATGGGGGTGGTGAGGATCCCCAGAGCCCATCTCCAAGTGCCTGTGTACCCCGCAGGGTGTGGGGCTGGCCTCCCTTGTGGCGCCCTTGCTGATCTCCCAGGCCGTGGGCCTGGCCCTCTATGTCCTGCCAGTGCTGGGTCAACATGTGGCCACCCAACACTTCCCTGTGACTGAGGCTGAGGCCGTGGTGCTGACACTGCTGGCCATCTGTGCAGCAGGCCTGGCCCTTCCACACAACACCCACCGGTGAGGAGCTGGTCTGGGTGGGCGGGGGCAGGGTGCACCCTGGACACGCAGGCAGCTGCCTCTGAGCCCATGCCTTGCAGGGTGGCGAACCCACAGGCCCCAGACAGGGGCTGGATGGCTCTGAAGCTGGTGGCCCTGATCTACCTGGCACTACAACTGGCCTGTACCACCCTCACCAACTTCTCTCTGGGCTTTCTGCTGGCTGCCACCATGGTACCCACCGCTGCACTCATCAAGCCCTCTGGGCCCCGGTACGTGCTGTCATCCCCACCACAAAGCCCACCGAGATGTGCCCCACCCCCGGGCCTGCACCCCTTACCACAGACTCCACCCTGCTTCTCCACCCAGGCCGCTCTACGCCGCCCTGCTGGTGCTGACGAGCCCAGCAGCTACACTCCTGGGTAGCCTGTTCCTATGGCGGGAGCTGCAGGAGGCACCGCTTTCCCTGGCCGAGGGCTGGCAGCTCTTCTTGGCAGCGCTGGCCCAGGGCGTGCTGGACCACCACACCTATGGCGCCCTGCTCTTTCCACTGCTGACTCTGGGCCTCTATCCCTGTTGGCTGCTCTTCTGGAACGTGCTCTTCTGGAAGTGATGACAATAGGGGAAACTCCCCAGGCGCCCTTGTTCTCTCCTTCTGGGAAATAAACAGGCGTTTTGTTTCAGCTGCACTTTGGGCTCCTGGCCTGCTGTCTGCTGTTCACGTGGGGCCCCAGGAAGCTCTGCCTGCAGCGCTTGGCACCTGCTCACCTTCCTGGTCCGCTTACTGGGCAGCAGGAGTGAGGCCCCAGCTGCATCTGCCTTGGGTGGAGAGCCTTGGATGGACACTTGGGATATGGAATTGGCACACGCAGACCTGGCCCAGCCCCAAGTGCACACTCCAACCTTGGCGATCTCTGCACACCGTGGTCCAGTGCTGTGCCTGAGGAGATAGATCAGGCGGGGCTCGGGGGGCCTGACGGGAGCTGAGGCGTCTGGAGATAGCAAAGCACCGTCCAGCGCTGGAGCTAACAGGGAAAAGGGTCCGGAGCTAGGTCCCTGCAGAAGAGGCCCTGGGTATGGAGAGTGGTGGCCCAGCGATGGCCAGAACCTCGATGGGGGCTTGGGATGGAGCCGGGAGGAACACCAGCCCAGCTTCCAGCCCAGGTCAGGTGCCCAAGAGAGGTGGAGCAGCAGAATCCATCCAGCACCACCCAGAGCAAACAGGCCCCAGGACAGGGACCACTCAAGCCCCCACTGGGAGGGCACTGACAGGCTGGTACATGGAGAAGCCACTGATTGTACCAAAACCTCTGAAGGGAACTGGGGTGTCCAGCATCCATTCTGGAGGGAAGACAAGCAAAGTGCAGCCTTTTGGTGATGGTAGGGCCGTATCAGGCCAAGAGGCCTCTGCTCACGAGAGGACCAAGGTGTCCCCCAGGGCAGCGAGAGCAGAGGCCTCAGTGTGAGAGGGAGGCACAGAGGCACTGCCTAGAGCATAAGCTCAGGACCAGTACCCCTTTAGGACCATGTCTTGGAAGAGGGGAAGAGGGTGGCCTGGGAAGGCCCCAGAAGGAAACTTCAGTCCCTAGACCCCTGCCCAGGCCTGCATCTGTAGAGAGGTTCATCTTCTGTGTGCTCCCTGGCCACACACAGCGGGGAGGGCCAGCACCTGGGCAGGTTTCCTCTGGGGCCTCAGAGAAGTCACTGCTGGCCTCTGTTGAAGGGGCATGTGCACTGTGTCCAGCACTGCCGGGGAGGGGGTGGAGCAGGAGACCCCGCTGTGACCAGCAGCCTGTCTGACCTGCTGTCCTCAAGGTCTGGTGGAACCTATAGTCACTTCCTCTGTTGAACAAACTTTCCAGCTCCTGAGGCTGGGGAAAGACTTGCAGCCCCCACCCCGAGCACCTCCAGAAGCTCCTCCCTGGCTGACTTCTCTCTGGATTCTCCCCTGATACTTCAGGCACCACCCCGCTGTGGGCTCCTGTCTTCCAAGACACGTAGAGACCTCTGCTCTGCTGGGGTCTCCTGTTGTCTCTTTGTGGACTGGTGTTTGATACAAAATCCCCTCCAGGCATTTGAGCCAGGCTTCGGCCTCAATCAGCCATTTTTAACTGAACCTAGTCAGTCACTTAAAACAAACCACAAAGACAGATGCTGTCATGAAACATACAAGAGGGGACAAAAGCTACAGAATCATCAGTTGTCCTGTACTCGCCTGCGTAGAATTCTGTCTCTACAGCAGACGGGAAGGGGAGCTCTGGGAGTTCTGAAACTGCTTTGTCCGGGAAGCAGGATTTCTGCTCAGATTTTCATTGATGTCACTTGTGCAACACATTTAAAAGGAGGAAAGGGCCAGGCTGGGAAGATGTAGATCAGATGTACAAGGAACAAGTATAAGGTCCTAAGGCTTTACCCTGGGGGTGTCTGCTTCTGGCCCCCATGTCCCTTCTTAGTCAAAGAACCCTGATTTTTTTTCTTTTTTCTATTTTTTTGATGGAGGTACTGGGGATTGAACCCAGGACTTCATGCATACTAAGCACATGCTCTACTACTGAGCTATACTTTCCCCTTCTTTTTTTATCCTTTTCTTTCCCAGACCCCTATTTTGACATGAGCACAGGTTACCCCAAATAAAGACGCTCCCAGATTCCTTGCAGCTAGGTGTGGTCGTGTGGCTGTGGCAGAAGCTTCTGCGGTGAATTCTGTGTAGGGACTTCGGACAGAGAATGACCCTCCGAGCCCCCTTCTCTCTCCTGCCCATGGGAATGTGAAGCATGAAGTGCGTCTGAGCTACGGTCCATGTTAAGGGTGGAGGGAGGCCAGGGGGATTCCCTGACCATCCAGAGCCACACGGCAACCCTGGGTTGCCAAACTGGGCTTCATCTACGAGAAAGAGAAACAGATTTCTCCTTTGTTTAAGCCATTGTTATTTGGAGTTTTCTGACAATCCTATCTAGTTCAGCAAGAGGGACTCCCCTGCGGACTCTTAGGCAGTCGCCAGCGGGATGTATTTAGAAGTATGTGTGTACCTGTTGCTGAGAATCAGTACTGAGTAGTAAGCACTCATTCCTTTGTTGCTTGCCTCCCACACCCCAGAATAGGAGCTCTGCGGGCAGGGCCTTTGTCTTACTTCCCGCCTCTTTTCCAGCACAGAGCCAGGGACACAGTAGAATATTCCCATGTATTTGCTGAATGAAAGAAGGAGAGACTCAGAGGGAGCCCTCCTGCAGTCCAGAAAGAAGCTATGAAGGCTTGTGACACAGGGTGAGGGCTCAGGAGGTTGAGGGTGGAGGCCTGGGGAGGTCCCGAGCCAGGCAGGCTGCCTCTACCTACCTCAAGACACCCAGCAGCCTCCCCATGACCAGGCCCTCCTGCAATTTGCAGGGGGTCCCAGTTTCCTCTGTGCCTGTCTCAGACCCTCTGCAAGTCACCCCATTCCACCTGAGCCTTCAAGGTCAGGGGCGCTGGGGTGCTCTGGGTGTCCTTACCTGTGAGCTGCTCCTGCAGACTCTAGCTGCCTTCATGCCCACACTGAGGTCCTATCCCCATCCCAGCCCCTCTTCTGAGGACACATCCTGTCACCTTCACCTCCTGGACATGCCATGGTCACCTCTAAGTCATCACTTCCCAATCTGAGCACCTCCCACCCTGCCTGCATCTCCTCCCCTGGTGCCCTCACCCAATCCTGGACCTGGGGTCCACCTTGTCTCTCTTCAGGGGGTGCCCATCGCCTCCAGGATGAAATCAAAGCTCCTTACTTTGGTCTCCAAAGCCTGCACAGCCAACTACTGCCTTGTTCTTCAGAACATTTTTAATTGCCCCAAAAAGAAACCCTGTGCCACCGCCCCCTCCCCTTCCTGCCCCCTCACCATCAATCTATGTTCTGCCTCTCTAGACTTGCCTGATCTGGACTTACATATGGATGGATTCATACAGAACATTCTACCCCTTATCTGTGGGGCCTCTGTTCCAGGACAACCAGTGGACGCCTGAAACCCTGGACAGTGCAGAATTCCACTGTCTGTTCGTGCCTTCTACCCACAAATTTAATGCCTTTTCCATCTTAACTAAGTACTTATCACACACTGGCCAGAACTTTTGCAGTTCAGGGTGTGACAGCAAAACTGTCACAAATTTCTCTTTCCTTCACAATTTTATGAATAGAAGATTGGTTCTTACTGTAGATCTTAACCTCAGCGTATGATTTTTTTTTCTTTCCTTATCAAACTGAGGACTTTCACCTTTTCACTTAAGGGAAGCATTTTACAGTTCTCTTTGGTGTCTCTGAATTGTAAGCATCATGACTCTTGCACTTCGTGGCCGTTATTGAGTAAAGGGCCACTTGAACACAAGCACTGTGATGCCTCCACAGCAGATCTGATATCCCACCCACATGGCTGCTAAGTGACTAACAGGTGGGGTCCCCGGACCAAGAGATGAGTCACGTCCCAGGGAAGTCGGAGGGGAGGGTGCAAGATTTCATCACACTACTCAATATGGGAGGTATTAACATCTCACACAGGATGTCTTTACGTTTATTTAGGTCTTTAATTTCTTTCAGTAACGGCTTGTAATTTTCAGTGTACAAATGTTGCACTTACTTATTAAATTTATTCCTAAGTGTTTAACTTTCTGATGCTATCATAAATTAGCTTCTTAATTTCACTTTCTGATTGTTTATTGCTAGGGTACAGAAACACAACAGGTTTCTGTATATTGATCTTCAATCAAACTTGATGAAGTCATTTATTACCTCTAATAGTTTGTATATGTTTTTTAGGATTTCATAGTTGACCCTTGAACAATGCAGGGGTTGGGGGGCCAACCCTCTGCATAGTTGGAATTGACATGTAATGCTACAGTCGGCCCTCCATATCTGCAGTTCCACATTCTCACACTCAGCTAACTGCAGGCAGTGTGGTGCTGCAGTGCGTATATAGTGAAAAAAATCCCAGTGTAAGTGAATCTGTGTAGTTAAAAGCTGTGCTGTTCATGGGTCAACTGTGTACGTATTCATGTTACCTGCAAGTAGAGATAGTTCTATTTATTTATTTCAAATTTAGATGCCTTTTATTTCATATTCCTGCCTAACTGCCCTGGGTCGACCCTCCTATATAATACTGAATAGAGGTGGCAAGAGCCAACATCCTTGTCTTTCTCCTGATCTTAATGGAAAATCTAGTCGTTCAACACTGATTTTTTTTTTAATTTTGGGGGGAAGGTAATTAGATTTTATTTATCTTTTGATGGAGGCACTAGGGATTGAACTCAGGACCTTGTGCACTCTAGGCATGCACTCTGCCAGTGAGCTACACCCTCCCCCTTTCACCATTGAATGTGAAATTAGCTGTGATGTTTTCGCAGATGTCCTTTATCAGGTTAAGGAAATTCCCCTGTATTCCTCATTTGTTGAGGTTTTTGTCATGAAAATGTGTTGGATTTTGTCAAATGCTTTTTCTGTGTCTGTTGCAATGATCATGTGGTCCTTTTCCCTGTATTAATATTACATGTCATGTTGATTGATTTTTACATGAATTGTTTATATTGATTGATTTATCTTTACATTCCTAGGATAGATCCCACTGTCATTTTGTAAGCATTGGGTTGAATCTTTTAATGATTGTTGAGGATTTATGTATCTATATTCATATAGACTATTGGCCTGTAGATTTTTCTTACAATGTTTTGTCTAGAGTTGGTATCAGGGTAATAGTGATCTCAAATAATGTGTTGAGAATTATTCCCTTATCTTATACTTTTTGGAAGCATTTGTTAATTCTTCTTTAATTTTGGTAGAATTCACCATTGAAGCCATCTCACCCTGGGTTTTTCTTTGTGGGAAGTTTTTGGGTTTTTTTAAATTACTGATTCAATTTGTTTACTTGTTATAGGTCTACTTAGATTTTCTACTTCTTTTTGAGTCAGTTTTGACAATTTGTGTCTTTCTAGGAATTTAGCCATTTCATATAGGTTATCTAATTTGGGGGCATAAATTATTTATAGTGTTCCCTTATAATCATTTTTATTTCAGTAAGATTGGTAGTAAGATCACCTTTTTCATTTTTAATTTTAGTAATTTGAGTCTTCTCTTTTTATCTTAATGAGTCAAGTTAAATGTGTGTCATTTTTGTTAATCTTTTTAAATAACCAACTTTCAGATTAGTTGAACTCTACTGTTTTTCAGTTGTTTCTGCTCTAATCCTATGTTAGGTTATTGATTTAAGATCTTACTTTTTAAAAAAATAGTCATTTAAAGCTCCAAATTTCCCTCTTATCACATCTTTTGATGGTGGTAAGTTTCAGTATGTTGTGTTTTTGTTTTCATTCACCTCAAAATATGTTTAAATTTTCTCTGTGATTTCTTCTTTGACTAATTGTTTAGGAGTATGTTATTTAATACTCACATATTTGTGAATTTCCCAACTCTGCTGTTATTGACTTCTTTTTTTGTGTATATATATATATTTTTTTGTATATATATTTTTTCTATTGAAGTATAGTCAGTTAACAATGTGTCAATTTCTGCTGTACAGCATAATGCTTCAGTCATACATGAACATATGTATTTTTGTTTTCATTTCTTTTTCATATTCTTTATAGTTACTATATCAAATATAGTTCCCTATGCTATACAACATGAACTTGTTATCTATTCTATATATGTCAGTTAGTATCTACAAATCTCTAACTCCCAATTGATCCCCTCCCACCCTCCTCCCTAACGGTAACCATAAGTTTGTTCTCTATATCTGCTGTTACTAACTTCTAATTTCATTCTGTTGTAGTCAGAAAACATACTTTGTATGACTTTACTACTCTTCAATTTACTGAGACTTGTTTTATAGCCTAACATATGATGTGTCCTGAAGAATATTACATACGCACTCTTCTGTTGTTGGGTGGCCTGTTCCATTGATGTCTGTTAGGTCTCGTTGGCTTACTGTGTTGTTCAGGTCTTCTCTTTCCTTGCTGATCTTCTGTCTAGTTGCGCTATCCATTACTGAAAGTGGGGTATTGACATCTCCAACTGTCATGGTAAATTTTCTGTTTCTCCCTTCAATTCTGTCCAGTTTTGCTTTATGTATTTTGGGGCTTTGTTGGGCAAATATATCTTTATAACTGGTATGTCTTCTTGGTGAATTGATCCTTTTTTCATTATAAAATGTCCTTCTTTTACTCTAGTATCAATGTTTGTCTGAAAGTTTATATTGTTTAATATTCATACAGCCCCAGTAGCTCTCTCAGTTACTGTTGGTATGGTGTATCTTTTTCCAGGTTTTTAACTTTCTACCTATTTGTGTCTTTCAGTATAAAACGTGTTTCTTATAGACATTATATAGTTGAATCATGACTTTAAAAAAATCCATTATGCCAGTCCCTGCCCTTTAACTGGAGATCTTAATCCATTTACATTTAATATAATTAACTATATAGTACAATTTATATCTGCTATCTTGATATTTGCTCTATGTCTTATGTCTTCCCCCCCCACCAATTTCTTCATTGTTGTCTTTCTTTTGTATTAGGTAGTTATTTTCCAGTGTACCATTTAAATTCCTTTGTCATTTCTTTGACTACACATTGTGAGTTATTTTCTTAGTGATTGCCCTTGGGATTACAACTGACATCTTAATTTGTAACAGTCTGCTTCAGATTAGTGTTACATTAATTTTAATTGTATTAAAAGATGTTGCTTGGGGGGGTGGGAAGGGACAGATTGGGATTTCAAAACGTTGAATAGATAAACAAGATTATATTGTATAGCACTGGGAAATATATACAACACCTTGTGGTAGCTCACAGTGGAAATAAAATGT